TAAGAATTGAGAGGTAACATCCAACCTGCCATATTGTATACATTCACAGCAGTATCCTATCATCAGGTAGAAGTAGGATAGATAGGCTAGGCCTTGTTGTAGTCCCCAAGGACACAGGTAAGTTGTTCAAACTCTCAAACTCTCATGGCACCTACACTTGTTGAATTGTTCCATTTCCTTCATCCTTATCCTAATGTGGATTCTCTTTAGACAGTTGACCATAAAAAATAATAATAATTCAGATTCAGTATATGTAAGATATGCATAAACTGAAATCAAAAGTTGAGTTTTAGAGCCTTAAAGACAACTTTAAGAATAGCCAGGGAAGAACGTGTAGGGAGAAATTCATCTAGTGGGCAACTAGATGGGCATCTAGTGGGCAACTTGGAGTTGGATTCCCCAGTCCACTTTACCTTTCATAGAGGTAGCCTGTATCAGAGTCTTCACTTATTCAGGGACAGTGATTAACAATGTGGTAACATTCCCAGAAGAATGGATAAAACAACACTAGGAGGTTGATGATAAGGAGCTCAAAAGTAGAGTTTTATGAATAGACCTCTGGCCTGGACACTTACTGTAAGAGTATCTGTCCTATGCACATGCTCACTTCAACACATGCCCTGCACAAGGAGCTCTCAGTCATTAGGTAGGTAAGATAACCAACTCTGTGGATGTCAGATAGCTCCTTGTCCAGACACCCCAGTCTTGTTCATTGAGGCATAAAGTGGCCACGGTAGCATGGATGGAGGCTATGCATGGGCTCAACAACATGGACTTACTCTAACTGAGACTTATATGACTTTTTGACTCTAGGTAACTGCTCAACAAACAAAAGGAAAGATCAGTACTGATCCCTGCACTCTCACTACGGCTTCAAGGCCTGAGGGTACTAGCTAGCCACTTGGTGGCTAGCTATATCCCTCATTTTTTAAATAAGGTGTATTTGTAGTAATCTACCTGATAATTCATTCTTTAAATTACTTAATATAAAAGTGATTGTGGCTGAACTGTAAAATAAATAAGCATCCCCTTCTAGGGAAGAATGAGAAAGGAGAACATGTCTTGAGTTTTATTGGCATCATTGGATCATATTAGCTAGATGCATGATGGAATTGGACTTTAATTGGAAATATAAACACAGGTAAACAAGTGTTTTGGATGTTGGAGTACAAAGAAGTGGACCAGATGGCCTATATGTCTGCTTAGCATCACTGCTTTGCCCTTCTACATTCTCATTGGCATCACTTTCCAGAATCCCTTTCCCCTATGACTCTAGATTTTGCTTGGTTAATAGAAGGTTCTTGTGTAAGATCTAAAAATTGGAATAGCACAGGAAAAACTTATTCTTCAGTAGTATTGTAGGCCAAAGTATATGTGGGCCACAGATGGGTTCCTTATATTCTTGAAGTTTATCATGGCTTCTGAGATATCTCTGGGGACTCATCTTCTTTGGAGCTGCTACTGAAATAAATTACTTGTAGCAAAAAAATAATTATTTGTAGCAGATTTTCCATGATTCAGGAATTTCTTGTTTTGAGGAACTCTGGAAGTGGCTTCCTTGACCTTTGCTCCTCAAACTCCCTAGTGTTCAGCCCTACAGTACTCTGGACTAAAACCAACTTATTTGGAAATTCTATGGGGGTATCCGTTTTCCTGAGAAAAGCCTAACTCTATCTCTACAGATTTTGTATCTTTGAAATAAGTTCTCTTATTTAAAGTTTTAAGATGCCCATTAACTGCTTCCTTCATCCCATCACTTGCCTCTTGATGATGGCAGGCATTCAAGACACAGGTTATTTTTTTCCTCATTCTGATCCTATAGGAAAAAAGGAGTCCTTAACTCCCATGATTATCTGCTATTACTTGGATATCCTTGTGTAAATTTATAATGTATAACATCCTAACTTTAAAATAGAGTCTGTATGCTTAATAAACATAAAACATGCTTTTGGTTTAATAGAAATTAACTGGCTAAAAAATTCACTTAAAAATTAATTGATGCATCTAAGGTACAATTTCTAATTGCAAACTTAGCAAAATGGTACATGAAATTGGATACATAAATTATAAAATATCACAATTCAACTTGTTCTGAGAGGCTCTAAACATTCAAAATAATGTTATCAAAATAGAGATACAAAGGAGAAAAAAACAAATAAATAAATAAAATAAATAAGGAAGGAAGATGCCCACCATCTTGTGCAGTAATCACTCTTGAAGGTCGTAGATTATTATTTTATCAAGGAAAGAGTGAGTCACTTTACTGTGAGCTCAGCAAACATTTCTGCTCAGCAGCTGTTGAGATACCAAACAGTCCCCTTGCCTAAGAGGAGATAGCTAGAACCACAAGACCTCCTTGGGTGATGAGCTTCAGTGCATTAGATTTGTGTTCACAGATGTAACATTGTGAAAGCAAGTTATAGATTTGAAAAAATTTTCTCCAGTATCACAAAGGCTTTGAGTTACTGTTTACCCACAGAATCTATGAATTTTATAGAACTAGCCTAGGGTTCTAGAACTTTGATCATTCACTTTGTAAATGAAAAACTTAGGAGCCTCTCCTTGTTTTTGTGATTTGTGAACTAAAGTCACTGCCTGGCAGCTGATGGTGAGTTTGCCTCCTGGAGTCATGGACTCAGAGGCTGGGAACTTGGTCAGCATGATGTCTTCTCTGGCCCCAGAGAGTAAACATGATATAATTGTCTCCAGTGTTCTCCAGATTGAAGCCACCATATTCCCAGCAGAGTGAATGTGGTTCCTCACACTGCAGTGTGGGTACTGTGCTGTCTGCCATGGCCCCTTAAGAACTCTTCCTCTCAGTGATTTCCCTTCCTGTGGCCACATCCCTTTGCAGCTCCATCTGTCAGGAGGTAAAATCTATATGTTCAGCTCTTGATTCTGGAATAGCCTGTGACTTGTGTTGGTCAATAGAACGTGACAGACAGGATATTGGTCTAGCTTCAAGCGTAGGCTCAAGAGATCTTGCATAATTCCTTAGTTTCTTGGCCCCTACGACTTCCGTGTGAACAAGTCCTGACAGGGCTGCTGGAAGATTAAAGGCCATGCAGAAAAGAGCTCAGCTGCCAAAGAGCTATTTTACAGTAGCCTATGGTCAGCCAACCCTCAACAGTCCATAGAATTATGAGCCAAATAATGACTAAATATTTTCTAAAGCAGATGAAAAGGCTAACCCACAGATCCTAGAAGTTCAACAACCCACAAACAGGATCAACACAAAATAAAGAAAATCACATGTAGGTACATCCTTGTCAAACTGATAAAAACTGGTCATAAGAAGAAAACCTTAAAATAATCCAGTCAGGGGAAAAAAGTATTGGAGAACAAGAAAAAGGACTGCACACTTCTTATCAGAAAAACATATGTAGCTGACCACAGGATAGCATCTTCAAGCGTTGAAGGAAAAATATGTTAATTTAGAATTCTATTTCTAGTAAATACATCCTTAAAAAATAAAGGCGAAATAAAGCCATTTAAAGATGAAAAAGAAACAATTTGTCATCATCAGACCTACACAGAAGCACATAGGAAAGTTCTGGCAGAAGATAAATTTCACCAGATAGAAACACAAAAAAATTGAAGAACACCAGAAGTGGTAAATGATAGGTAAATATGAAAGACTTGTCTTCTGATTTACAATTTCCTGAAAGACAATTGATTATTTAAAGCAATATGAATGAGAATATATTGTAAATTTAAAAACATATGTAATAGCAAAATGCATGACAAGAATAGTATAAAGATTGGCACAGGGTAATGACAGTGCATGGCTCTAAGGATTTCCCTGTGTATGCGAAGTAGGAGAATATTAACTTACAGTAGACTGGGACAGCTGTCCCTGCAAATGGTAACCCATGGAACAAGCCTTCTTGACCTGAGCACGTAACATTGTAGAACTGAAAATTCTTTGTTGTGGAGACCTGTCCTTTGCAACCAGTGGCATGAGAGGAGATGCGGGATTGGGAGAAATATTCATGATTGCTGGTGGATGATGATAATGAAAGTTGCATTATTATTAATTTATAAATTTCTATAGTCGGTTCAGCCCTTTAGAGCCTGCACTTGGGGATGCCACCCCTCCCCTTGTTGCAACTGAGACCTGAGGCTCCCAGCCCACAACCAGCACCAGCTGGTGGACATGGGGTGAGACCAGCTTAAGCCTTTCAAACTAGCTGACCTTCTTGCTGACTACAGCTGCATGAGTGAGCCCTGGCAAACCAGAAGAGAAACTACCTAGCCAACCCACAGAATCATAAGAAATAATGAATTGTTGTTCTTTTAAGCCTTTAAGTTTTGGGGTGCTCTGTCATAATGTAATAGATCATAGAACAACAATAAATTATTATTTTTAAAATATTTTATTTATTTATTTATTTATTTATTTATTTATTTGAGAGAGAGATAGAGCACAAACAGGGAGCAGGGGAAGAGGCAGAAGGAGAGGGAGAAGTAGACTCCCCGCTAAGCACGAAAGTCAACATAGGGCTCGATCCCAAGACCCTGGGATCATGACCCCAGTCGAAGGCAGATGCTAAACCTACTGAGCCCCCAGGTGCCCCAAGAATAGCAATAAATTAATCCATCTAAATCTTCTGTCCAGATTACCACTTGACTCTATCCACCTCCACATTTTCCTGTATGTAGATCTGTGGTTTCCTTTTTTTTTCTTTAAGATTTTATTTATTTATTGATACGAGCACAGAGAGAGAGAGAGAGAGAGAGGCAGAGACACAGGCAGAGGGAGAAGCAGGCTCCTTGTGGGCAGCCTGGTGCGGATTTGATCCCAGGACCCCGGGATCACCACCTGAGCCAAAGGCAGACACTCAAACACTGAGCCACCAGGTGCCCCTGTAAAACTGGTTTAAATGTGAGATAATAACTCTCCAACCTGTCCTTGCTTCACAAGGTCAGCAGACACAGACTCTGAAAGCATAAAGTCTAAATAAACACTGGGTATATAACTTCTCTCATGCTGCAGCCTCCTACAGGAAGCAGATGTCTTTGTTCAACAACTGGCACCCACAGCCCAGACAGGATATTTTTGTCTGGGGACCCGTCACTGAGGGAGGCCAGCTGAAGTGCTGCTGGCAGTAATACACCCCCATGTCTTCAGCCTCCACTCCATGGATGGTGAGGGAGAAATCAGAGCCAGAGCCACTTCCCTGGAACCGGGACGGGGTTCCAGCAGCCCGGGCAGAAGCCCCAAAGATGAGCAGCCTGGGAGCCTCACCAGGCTTCTGCTGGTACCAGGCCATGGAGGTGCCTATGTCCATGCTGCTTTGACAGGTGATGGAGATGAAGCTGTCCTGAGACACCGCCAGGGTCTCTGGGAACTGGGTCAGGATGTGCCGCCCTCCACAGCCTGCAAGGACACCCCATCCGAGCAACGAAGTGTATTACTTCTGTCAAAGGCATCGAGGAAACATCGTTCCTTAGAAGAACCGTGCCATGCTTAAACATGACAGAGACTATAAATCAAGTGTCCCCGGGCCTTCCAACCTTTGCGTGTGTCCAAGAATTCACACAGCTTTCAAGTCAATGTGTCCTTAGGCCCAGGGCAAGCTATGAAAGGTGACCCCACAGGGCACAGCCCCACCTCGAGGGGCAGATGGACGTGACTCTCCCTTATAGCCTGAACGGGTCCCAGGTGAGCCTCCAAAGGCAGAGTGGACATGGGGTGGGAGCATGGACAGAGCACTTCATGGTCCTCAGGAGGCCAAGGACAGTTTCCAGGCTGTTTGTGCCTCTGCCTCATTGTCAGCCTTGGTCTCCGTGCCTGGATTTCCTACTAAGAGTTAAGTCAAAACAACACTACATAACCCACTATAATTGCCCAAACCCCTTTTTCAGCACATGGTCTCTGTGTCAAAGGCTAAAGGTCCAGCATACAATCGGCAGTGGGAAACATGCTTACCCTGAAAGCCTATCGCCAGGAGACACAGAAGCTGGGCTTGGAAGCTCATCTTGGAGTGTCCCTTGAATCTGCTGCTTCTGGACCAAAGGGCAAGAGGGCTGGGCTGGGCAGGTGGATAGTGGTCAGGGCTGCTCTGGAACAGGGGCCCATGCCCCAGGGTTAAATAAGCCACAGGTCTCCATGGAGTTGATTTGCATGTCTGAGAACCCAACAGAGCTCTTCTCTCCTGCCTTTCAGGACTGGCAGGCTCACTCTGCCTGCAGATGGAGGAGGTAGTGGAGGCAACGGAGGTGCCTGTGGACTAAGCAGGACCAGGGACGTCCTCTGCAGAAGAAGGGATAGAGGTCACCCCAGGGACAGCCAGATGCCTGCCTGAAAAGTGATCACTCAAGGATCTATTGCTATAGAGACGGGGTCTTGTTCTGCTTTCTGCTCTAACTAGATGTCAAGTTAACCATTGATTGAAGCCCAGACCAGGAAGATAAGACAAAATAATCAAGTCAAACTACTTCCTCACAGAGAATATATTTCTGGAGATACTCAACAAAGAATGGTAATTGAAATTAAAGTTAAGTTGGGGTTGAAGAAAATAGTTAATAGGAGAAGCCAGATGCCCACAGAGAGAATTTGGGTACATATTGCTGACCCAACAACGAGGCACTGTGTCTAGCCCATGTCTCAGGAGAAGGGATGGTATCTCCTGATCCTGAGACCACAGCGGTAGCCTTTGCCATCTCTCCTATGTGTTGTGAACTGGAGCAGCCCCAGAGTCTCAGGTTGGATCTTCCGGACTCTTCTGCAGCCTTCCAAGGCAAGGTTGTAACTCCAGGATCCTGCAGATAGGACCCAGAGAGGACAATGGGAATGAAGTTTTGGAGAACCTCCTATTATCGGGAAGATCTTTTCAGTGTCCTTCTAGCTGCCTCCATGGAGCGTGCTTATACGGTTCAACCTGGTCCCCTTCTTTTTGTCTATCTGGTTGTCTATTTGTCATCAGCCTCCCTAAGGCAGCTACAGGTCAACAGAACACAGGGAAATGAGTTAGTAGGCAAGTCCCCAGGGGCAGCATACAAACCTGTGTTTTGCTTGACTGTTTTGCTTCTAGAACCTACCAATGTTCAGAGAAACTAAGTTCTGGGAAAACAAGAGGGCTGAATAATCCCACTACTGGCATTTGAAATCCCCCAGGAATTTAAAGAGGCATTTAGGAACAGGTTATTTTCTCCTCACTGGAAGTAAAGATTTTTATTGGCTCTACAAAAGAATCTCTCATGACCAAAGAGGAATCTACATGTTAAGGAGGGTTGAAATGCAAACAAGGAGGCTTATGTGGTTGGAAATGAAGGTGAGGTTATGTGTGGTCACTAGATGCGCCCCACCCCACCCCCCACCGCTTGCTAGATGGCAGCTCTGTGTAGGTGCCAGAGCCTCAGAATGGCAAGTGATAGCATTAAGCTTCAGACAGAGAGAATATGGCTTCCTCTACTGTGGACCTGCAAGTAGGCAGCAAGAGACCAGTCCAGAGCCAGTGCTGCTGATCTGGGCTGGTGGGACAAGGATGTAGGCATTGTGCTGTGTGTGATAGAACCAAGCTCACTGATCTAAGAGCACTGGCCCCTTAGGCAAGTGGGATAGCCTCTGAGGGAGATAGGAGTGGAGAGTGAAGGCTGGATTTGCACAAAGTGTCTCTGGCCTGGTGAAAGCTCTTTAATAACCATCCTCTTTGAGGTGCCTGGGTGGCTCAGTCAGTTAGGCATCCGACTGTTGATCTCAGCTCTCAGGTCTGGATCTCAGGGTCATGAGGTCAAACCCCTTGTTGGGCTCCATGTTTGGCATGGAGCCTACTTAAGATAAGATGAGATGAGATAAGATCATCCTCTTCTTCATGGAAAATGCCCTGCCCACTGGAAGCAGATTCTCAGCCATCTAAATTTAGAAACTCCTCACCATCCAAAGCAGAGTGAGCCTTTCCCCCATAGATAGGCAAAGTCTAAAAAAAATTAGGCATACAGAAAGGAGCTCAGCCTGACCTTTGGAGAACACCACAGTTCTTGGGTGAGCAGGGCAGGCCCTCCTTTAATCTCGGCCCTGGGGAAAGGGGAAGAAGTGTTCCTTTGTACCCTAGGGAATGAAGAAGGAACATCTGCAGTGAGCACTGCCTCACCCTCTGCCTAAAGAAGATAATACTCTCCCCGACCTTGTTTGCCTGAAAATTCCTTTTCCTCTTTGAAATCTCTCCTCTCCATGTAGCTTTCCTGACTCCTCCATCCAGTGGCCCTTTTTCTTCCACATCTTCATTTTATCTTTGCTGTAGCCACAGCACACCTCAGTTAAGCTGTATATGTATGTATTCATGAATACGTAATTATTTATGTATGTAGGGGTCCATCTTCCCTATTAGACAATGACTTCCTTGCAGGTAGGAACTAAAGATTTCAATATTTGTATCTCTAGGGCCAAAGGCTAATAGCCCTGTCGCCCTGTCCTGTGTAAGGAAGTCCTCACCAGCAGGGACAGCCCAGAAGCTCCTATCTTTTTCCAATGCCTCTCTTCCCCAGTAATGGAGCAGGAGTGAGGGTGAAGGAGATATTCAGGTATAAGGTATTCTTCCAATCCCCAGGACCTTACCCACAGGCTAATTCTCATGGCAATGGTCCCAGGGTGTCAGCTGACTTAGAGATGACGTCTTACTAGGAGCCCTGGGGTTTTGGCTGGGCACTTGAGAGGTTGGGTCACAAACAGCCTCCCTGGGCCACGGCTGGCCTGATTCATCAGTGTAATATGATAGCAAGACATTACCCTGAATCCCTGCAGCCCATCCTGGAGGGAAGAGATATACAAATTTGGTGGGAAAGTGGATCATCCTTACTAATAGCCTTCAGCAGAAGCAGATTCTCAGCCAGGTGAGTCAAGAACTGATTTTTGTGTCACAAATCGGAGAAACAGTAGGATGTTATAGTCTTAATTGAGGGATTTCTCCCATCTCCTAAGCCATGTCCAGAAAAATGATTCTTACCCTAGACTTTGTAAAACATTTCAAAATGTCTCATGAGCTTAAGAAAAATATAACCAAATTTTAGTTATTTCCATACTTTGGGCAATTTAGGTCACTCAGCCAATGCCAAGTACACTGTCCCCAGTAAGTAAAAAGAATTAAAAAGGGAGATAAAAGAGGATCATATTTGAGACAGTGACCATAAATTACCCTCCATGAGAACTGAGGACCACAGCCCCGACATACAATCAGAGATCCAAAGGTTAATAGCCCATGACTGTCTCTGTAGAGACAGCTTCTCCCAAGATGGTTAAGGGCTATCTCTGGAGAAGTCTTTTTTCTGCAAGATAATGGAGGACACAGCAGGTCATTTAAAAAATCCTGAGAAAGGCCTTCCTTTGTGTGCCTCTCTGAGCCTAGGCAAAGCTGGTGTTGGATACACTTAGAGAAATGCCTTGTGAACATAAGAGAGAGACAGAAAGAGAAAGAGAGTAGTGTGTGTTCACAGAGAATTGGTATTGCAATAGTAGAGCAAGCTGAGTCCATGGCCCCCAAAGGTTTCAGATCCTAATCCTGCAATCTAAAATACTACTTGATATGAAAAAGTATCCTTGTGATTAAATTAAGGATCTTGAGATGAGGAGATTATCCTGAATTAACCTAAGTGCAATCACAAGTGTCCTTGTAAGAGAGAGGCAGAGGGAGTTGAACACAGCAGAGGAGAAGACCAAGCGAAGATGGAGGAGGGAATTGGAGTACCAGCAACCACAAGAACCTGTAAGAGGTGAGGTATGGATCTGTCCTACAGCCTCTGATTTCAACATGATCTTGACCTAGACTTCTGGGCTGTGAAAGAAGATATTCATGTTATTTTAAGCCACCACATTTAGATAACTTGTTACAGGAGCCATAAGAAACGAACACAAATGAGGCTCAAAGAAGCTCCATACTAAAGGCCCTATTGTTTGTAATCTCCTTGGCTAACTCTCTAATGCTGTACCTAAATGGATTGGAGAACATTTTTATGGTGGACAGCGATGTTAGCAAGATGGTGGACTAAGAGGCTCCATCCTTTGTCCTCCCACATAAACAATGATTTAATGGCTACTAATGTATAAAAATAGTTCCAAGAGAGTCCCACACTGCAATTAAGAAACTGCAGTAACCTAGTAGAGCACAATACCGAGGATGGCTGCATAGAAAGTGTGGGAAGCATTGACCTATGTCATCCCATCCCCCAGACCACAACAGCTTAGCACCAAGAGGAATCCCTCTGAGCACAAATAAATAAAATCTTTAAAAAATAATAGTAGAGACTTCAACATCCCACTTTCAATAGTAGATATAAACATCCTATAGAAAGTCAATAAACAGTTGACTTGAAAACACTATAGATGGGTGGCCCGGATGGCTCAGCGGTTTAGCACTGCCTTCAGCCCAGGGCGTGATCCTGGAGACCCAGGATCGAGTCCCATGTTGGGCTCCCTGCATGGAGCCTGCTTCTCCCTCTGTGTGTGTCGCTCATGAATGAATGAATAAAATCTTATTTAAAAAAAAACAAACAGGGATCCCTGGGTGGCACAGCGGTTTGGCGCCTGCCTTTGGCCCAGGGCGCGATCCTGGAGATCCGGGATCGAATTCCACGTCGGGCTCCCGGTGCATGGAGCCTGCTTCTCCCTCTGCCTGTGTCTCTGCCTCTCTCTCTCTCTCTGTGACTATCATAAATATAAAAAAAAAAAACACTATAGATGAAATGGACCTAACAGACTTCTACAGAACTTTCCCTGAGATGCTCAGGAGTCCCATGCAGACTGCATATTACAGAGGTGCAGGAGATGCTGGCAGGGGAACAGAGAGGAATGAAACAGGGAGAAGAAGATGGATAGAGAACCATCCATCAGCAGGGCAGTGTTGAGTGAGGTTGCCGGATCTAAACTCCACATGGAAACAAGGGAAAGTATCTCTGGATGATTCCAGCTGAGAGGTGGGGGAGCTGGGGTATTTTATCCACCTCTTCTTGTCAGTCATAATTGAGGGCTGTCCTAGAGGGTCCT